TCGAAATCGGTCCACAAACAAAAAACCCACTATAAGTCACAATACCCTACAATCAGATTATCTGTATCTATCTATTTACTTTTAAATAATAACATAATCCCAGGGCGTATTAGTTAACGCAATTTTTGTTTGCCTAAATTCATTATATATTTAAGGTTATTCGCGACGCTTGGATAAAAGGCAAAGGATGGATAAGAAACCAGCGGGCACAAGGCCTTCCATTCACAGTTGGCCAATCATTCAAATTGGAATTTAGAATAGCACCGAGAAATGGGATAGAAGTACTAATTAAATTAAAGTAGTCGACTCAGCTCGACGAGCTCTTTCGAAAAGCTCTTTCGAAGCACTTTCAAGCTTCATATTCGAATTTTTACCCCCAAAATGAGCTTCCTCCCTCCAAGGTTTTTGACCATTTCGAGCCCTGTTTTTGACCAGTTCGAGTCCCAATCGAAATTTTGAGGTCATTCGACTCAGCTCGACTAGCCCTTTCGATTGACATATAATTTGTCCCAATCGAAGTTTATTTAGGATTCCGAAATTATACCTTACTTTGAAGTTTTTAATGATACAATTTTTATTTCAGGTATTAGTCGACAAAAAATCATTTATAATTTTTACCCGATACGATATGAGTAAAGTAACTCAATTGGAGATTAAAGGGGCAATTGATGTTATTAATGTTACTTTGGTATCTTGTGAAAATAAAGAATTGTGATTAAATATTTAATATTTGTGATTTTAAAAATAATATTTATAATTTGTACGTTTAATGATATAAAATAAAGGAATGTCGAATTCACATTGTTTATCAATAAAAATTAATGATGGCAATTTGTCTTATCTAATCCAAATAAGTATATTTAAAAATATCAATAATATAGTCCCTACTTTAGGTTTCTTACGTCTTAAGATAGGGTCAAAAAATCTGAAAAAGGCAAAACATGTTTCTTTTGAAAAAATGATGGATTTACTTTAAGTTAAAATAAAATTTTTTAATTTTTCTTATCAATTTTAAAAAATTTAAGTTACTGCCCAAATCACTCAAAATTATTTTTATAATGTTACTCAAAATGTTTTTGCGTGTAAAATTATTTTTTAAAAAACGTTTACTGCCCAAATCACTCACTGCCCATTTAACTCACTGCCCAATTCACCACTGCCCAAATCACCAGACACGTTTTAAACAGACTAGAACACAGATACTGATTTTGGTATCCGTATCCGGATATTTACGGCGGATACAGACGGATATCCGCAGGCATTTTTATAATATCTGTATCCGTATCCATATCCATGTCCTAGTCTGCTTTTAAAAAAGTACGAATCAGAACCCTGATGTAATTAAACATTGAAAATTAAAATAAATGTTTCCTTGCAAATAAATTAAAAATAACTTCCTCATACTAGATGAACAAACATTGTAAACTGAAAATACAAAAAACATGTGTCCCATCTAAACCAAATGAAAATTTTTCTCACTATACAACTAACAATAAAAATTAAAAAATACAAGCGCTATTAACATTCGAATAATTTTGTTTAACACTGATTAAATACTAGACATGTAAACAACTTTGCTTATAAAATCCAACATTATAGGAATGTTGATAAATTCAAACAATCATTAAAATATAATAAAATTTAAATATTATCTTAACTTCAATAATGAAGGTAAATAGCTAACAAAAATTTTATTTTAATCAAGAAAAATATTCAAATTTTAGTTGGTAACACTTCTTTTGTTAATAATATGTGCGAGCTTTATGATAACTATGATCGAGACGGCAATATGCAAAGATGCGATTATTTATGATAATCCGGTGAGATAAGGAAACGGGGACCCAGAGATTGTCGGGGACCCAGAGAAAGGGGACTCAGAGATTTAATATTGTAAAGCCCTTGATGGGCGAAGCACTAGTGATGGCCCTACCAGCACAGTCGGACGGAAGAGCTCTTGCTTAGCATTAAATTCTAATAAGTCGAAGGATACTTTCACACTTCACTCTTAATTTCAAGGCCTATCGGATTAAATAATAATTTTTTAATTTTAAAGAAGTTGCCATTAACAATTGATCTTTCAAGAATAAAATTTGGAAAAGGATTTTATCCGACAAAGAGTATTGTAATTAATGCGATATTTATTACATGGGCAGACGATTTTGTGGTTAATTTGGTCGAAGATGGTGTGATGGAGAAAACTGCTGACATTCCATTCCAATTCAATCCGCGCAACACAGTGTTGGGGCGTCTTATAAGATATGAGGTTGTCCGCAACAATTGGTCAAAAGACAAAGGATGGGGAACTAAGGAAACTTCTGGTGGTATTCCTTTTGAAGGTGGAGATAAATTTACTTTGGAATTTGTTGCAGCGCCAAACAACACAATAATCGTAACACTCAATTCGGTTCTACTTCAGTTTATGAGTCCAATCAAACTTTATGGGGTATTTCTTGGTGTTGCCAGCTTGGGGTATGGGTCCAAAACATTTCTTCATGTTCAGGACCTACGCCCACTGGGTCTGGGACTGTTCCTTTCCTATCCCTCGAAATTTCGGAAAGTTAAATTTCAGGAGAACGATTCTAACTCTCAGAAATTTCGAGAGGTAGGGTAAGGAATAGTCCCAGACCCACTGGACGTAGGTCTCAAACATGAAGAAATGTTTTGGATATATTCCCCAACCTGGCAACACCAAGGAAAAACCAATTATTTTTTGATTGGACTCATAGTTTTATTGGACTCATAAACTGAAGTAGAGCCCTCAATTCTACCTCAATTTGTTAATTTTTCGTAGATCAATGTCAATAATAAACATTTTGCAAATTTCTCTCGTGTTGATTTGAGTAAAATTAGTCAATTATATATTTCTGGGATAAACACAATTCAACTCAACACTTTAACTTTGTGCCCCAATCAAGTTGTAACGACTGTACAGCCAACAACTACCACAAAGCATATCGAAACGGCAATATGCAAAGATCCGATTATTTATAATAATCCGGTAAGATAATGAAAAGGGGATCCAGTTTTGGTTTAGCATTTAAGATAGGACATGGGTTGAGATCTACATATTCAATATGTAGAAAGGTAGGTAGCTTAATCCCTTGGTAGCTCCGTAAAAAGTCTGCCTTCTCTCTTGATTTTTTTAAGCTTATCGTATTAGCTGGCTGCTATTACTTTTTAATAGAGCTCAAATCAAAAAAAAGTATTATAAATAATAATAATATTTTTTAAATTTTAAAGAAGTTGCCATTAACAATTGATCTTACAAAAACAAAATTCGGAAAAGGATTTTTGCCAGACAAGAGTATTTTAATTAATGTTACGTTTATTAAATGGGAAAACGATTTTGTGGTTAATTTGTTCGAAGATGGTGTTATGGAGAAAACTGCTGACATTCCATTCCATTTCAATCCGCGCAACACAGCGAACCCGCCTAAATTATACTTTCAGGTTGTCCGTAACAATTGGTCAAAAGACAAAGGATGGGGAACTAAGGAAACTTCTCCTGGTTTTCCTTTTACAAGGAATAAACCATACATTGTGGAATTTGTTGCGGCGCCATACAATACAATAATCGTGAGCACTCAATTACTACCTCATTGTGTTAATTTTTCATAGATTAAAGTCAATGATAAACGCTTTTATACTTTTGCACGTGTTGATTTGAGTAAAATTACTCAATTATATATTGCTGGGATAAACACAATTCAACTACACACTTTGACTTTGTGTCCCAATCAAGTTGTAACGACTGTACAGCCAACAACTCCCACAAAGCCTATAACAACCATAGCTCCCACAACGCTTTTTCAATATTGTCATAAACAACCTGTTATTAGAGACTTGGTAGTTAAAATTTTTATTGCCTTATCAAACGAAAATTAAATCTGGATATTAAGAAAATACCATCAGTAATCAACCTTGTAGCTCAAGGATTGGATAGAGGCTTTGCACCACCTCAGCGTATTATAGTTTATGGGACACCCATAATTATACCTGGACCAATACGCTTTGAATTTAACTTTGCTGATGATGGTAAAATATATGATACTGCTAACACTCTATTACACTTCAATCCACGCTTTTATGAAAATCGAGTAAGTGAATATCAAAACCCCTTCGATTCATAAATCCTTCGAGTAATCTCACCGAGTTGAGTTGTCGATACCACTCACACCGAGATATAAGACCCAGAAAATTGAAAAAGGGGACGAAGCTGATTTTGGGGTCACAAATTCAATTATACAAAAGATAGCTCATTCGAAAGATCTTGGGGAGCTGCGTAGAATGACAACAAAATGAGGTTAACCAGTTGATCTTGAAAAATTTACGATCAATTGAATCTTCGCCTTAAAAACTGTTTTTGCTACTGTAGGTGAGGGTATTCCCATTCTGCAAAGTGTAATTGAATCAAGTGCTTTTTTTCTTAATTCACATTTTCAATTAAGACAAGCATAAGAAATAACTAAAGTTGCCTGAATTATTTTTAAATTTTTAAGGTTGTTCGCGACACTTGGATAAAAGGCAAAGGATGGATAAAACAAGAGACTGTAGGAGGTTTCCCATTCACACTTGGACAACCATTCGTATTGGATTTTCAAGCTGCATGGGGAAATCAAATAGCTGTAATTATTTCATAATTAAATATTTTCCTAATTTTTTCCTAAAGAGGTGAGTCGGAATTCCGATTTCCGACGTTTTTTTCCTTCCAATTTCCGAAAAAAATTTTGATTTCCGATTTCCGACTTTTGAGCCAGTTCCGATTTCCGGTTCTTCCGATTTCCAACACCTCGGAATGTCCGACCCACCTCTGGTTTCCTGGACTATCCTATGTAGGTATGAGAAGAATGAATCCATCTCAGTTGGGGCACTAAAGTTTACAAATTTCAGGTATTTGTAAACGAAAGGCACTTTGTAAATTTTGGACGATACGACTTGCGTGGAGTAACCCCCTCCAAACCCCCAACTAGCTTCTTTCGGTGTTTAGCTTGCTTCTTTCATTCTGGGGTTTGGATCTCTCTTCTCTTGAACTGTTCTTTGCTGTATTGACGCTGTGCTTTTTTTGGAAATAAAATTATTTAATTGATTGAAGTCTTTTTTGGGTTGGAATAAAACTTAGGCAAAAATTTGCTTGGTAGAAAAACCTCACTGAGATTTGAGCTCTCTCTCCACATATTTTTTTGGTGCAACGGCCGGGAACCAGGCCGCCTTCAATTTGCTACTTGAATTCTAATTTTGGTTTGGAAGTGCTGTTCAAATGTCCGGAAGAATTAGACGAAACCTGAACGCTGCCTTGAAAACCATTCAAGAGCATACTGCCGAGGCCAATCGAATTATTGCTGAGGAAAATGATGAGGATACTCGCAGAAAGCTGAAACTGGAAAAAGCCCATATTGAGACCACTATTGGAAGGATTGAGGAATTGGATGCCCAATGGAGTGATTATGTGACAAGCTTAGAAGGGCCGCAAAAAATGGCTGAGGAGTCGCTATATCTGGATTTTCCGCCCCTATGTGCTGGTATGGAAAGGGAGGAAGGGCAGGAAGTACCGTTAGCTCAACGTCATTTTGTGGATCAATGCGAATTTGCCCGTCAAGTTGTTGTGCTAATTGAACAAACCATGGAGGATCTTGGCCAGTCTAGAAGCGGTTCACGTCAATCTGCAATGAGCGAAGTGTCAGATAACCGAACCAATGACCTTGGAAACCAAAATCGGAGGGCACAAGGAAATCAAAGGCCGCAGCCGCCTACAGTGCAGATGCAACCGCCTTTTATGGCGCAACCCCGTGCGAAGCTCCCTCCATTGCATTTGCCTCACTTTTCGGGAGAAACCAGAGACTGGCCTACCTTTTGGCAACTTTTCGAGTCAACTGTGGATAATGAGCCCAGCTATGACAATGTTGTGAAAATGAGTTATTTGCTTTCTCTGTTGGACAGGCCCGTACAGAATGTAGTGGCTGGATACTTACCTACGAATGAAAATTATCCCCGCGTTGTAAAGCTGTTAAAATCGAGATATGGAGATAAACGTGCGCTCAAGGAGTCTTTACAGTCGGAGCTCTACCATTTACCCCATGCTAATGACTCAGTGATGGGATTGCGAAAATTCTTAGACATAATTGAAAGAGTATGCCGTCAATTGACTGACTATGGAATTAGCGATGACTCTTGGATCGTTTTCACTATTAAAGAAAAATTGCCCAGAGGAATACTTGCCAAACTGATAGAAAAAGAACGAGTAGCCGAGCAAACATGGAATGTCGAAAAGTGGAGGAAAGAGCTTGATCTACTTATTTCAGTCAAAGAAGAGGTCCATAAATGTAGCGTTAATAAGGAACCTGATTGGCAACCACAAAGGGACAGACGCCCACTGCCAGACCCTGAGCGAACCATGTGCCAAGAAAATCATCTACCAAGCAAATGCCCGAAAAATAACAACCTTCAGGCCAAGAAGGATCGTTTGCTGGAACAAAACCGTTGCCTAAAGTGCATATTATGTAGAGGGAACCACCCTCCAAGCCACTGTACTAAGTATAGCAGTCCAAAGGCGAGGAAATACAAGTTACTAGAGCAGAACCGTTGCCTAAACTGCCTGAGTGATGGCCATCGAACCTTTGATTGCAGGAATAATCGCCGATGTATTAAATGTCGAGGAAAGCACCACCTTATGGTTTGCTATTCAAGTGTGTCAAAACTCCAAATGTTCGAATCTACGCGGAGGAGGAATAATTATTGTTCAAAGCAGGCTAGAATGTTTGAGACTGAAAAATTGTTAGATGAAAAGACAAAGGCTCTCCAAGAGAAAGATAGAAAGATAGTGAAATTGATGTCCGAGCTGATGTTGGCACGCAGAAAATCCGAGGAGGAATCCAAAAAAGCTAAGCGATTTAAAGTTCTATTAGATGAAGCTAACTCGAGGAAGATTGGTGATTTTAATCCGAAAAAGATTGATGATGGAAAAGGAACTCTGAAAGAGACTCAAGTGCGAGTCAATTCCCTTCAAAAGACTAACCGAGAATTGCTTGTTAAAAATGGCCTGCTCAAGCGTGAAGTGCGCATTTGCCGTAAAAAAATGCCTAAAACTAGAAAAACTGGAACCACCAGATTTCTATGACTTTTGCCGCCCATGGATGGATATAAAAATGTTAATGATTGTATTCGCCGCTTTTTCTATGATTCTGGATGGCGCTAAAGACGCTTTGAGGATGTTCTTTCGCGCAACCAATAAACTTTGGAAATGTAAACCGAATGAAAAGATGGAAAAGGAATTAACTCTGGAAACTCACTCTTGGCTTTCTTTAACGCTTTTCGCCGCCGCGGTTGCGATCAACCCCAATTGGACCTTCCTCGCCATCTTTGCTAATGTTATGGATGGTTGGGCACATGCATGGAAAGAGAGCAGAAAATGTGCAATGGATGATGTGCCGAAGATCAAGAAAAGAAAGAAAATACTTGAAAGATGGAAAAAAGAAATTGAGGATGAAACTTTCAGGCGCGGGCGGGAATGTCGCGAAGCGACGAAGGATGAGGAAAATAAAATAAATATATTTCTATAATTTTAATTCTAAATTAATCATCACTTTTTGCAAATTCCTTTTTCGGACTTTCACCTGGCTAAAAATAATTTTTTTGCTGTAAACATCTATTCAAACTCTATTTACATTTTTAGTCCTTTTGTTCTAAAACTTAACTTTATTTTCCACTCTTTTGTATTATTCAAAACATGTGCATTTTATTTAATCGTTCCTATTATGCCTTTAATGATCGAAATATTTTCCTGTCTACCCGCCTATTTTTCTGGCTTATATAATCTCCCCCTCCAAACCCCCAACTAGCTTCTTTCGGTGTTTAGCTTGCTTCTTTCATTCTGGGGTTTGGATCTCTCTTCTCTTGAACTGTTCTTTGCTGTATTGACGCTGTGCTTTTTTTGGAAATAAAATTATTTAATTGATTGAAGTCTTTTTTGGGTTGGAATAAAACTTAGGCAAAAATTTGCTTGGTAGAAAAACCTCACTGAGATTTGAGCTCTCTCTCCACATTATCCCTTTGTTTTTCAATCTTTTATCGTATACCCTTCAAAGGATTTTCCTCCCACATTCTTCCCTATTTATTATTTGGATGATTTTTTTTATGATTTTGTATGTATGCAAATTTTGGCTTTATATGAAAGGAAGGGCGGCATCCAATTTACTCCATATTCCTAAAAATATTTATTTTTCTTATATTTTTCTATTTTTGATTTATGCTGTAAGGCTATAAACGCAAAAAGTTTAACTTACGTGTGTGTCGGTGTAAATCCGTCCGTGTCCGTCCGTGTTTTCTCTGTCCGAGTCAGTCCGTGTTTTGACTGACCGTGTCTGACACGGGCAGAAAGCCACGGACAAAAAGCGGACAGAAAAACACGGACACACCCGGTCATTTCATTTACATAAAATTAGTTTCTCGACTTTCACTAGTGTTGATCAAAACGATACTGGTATCGGCCCCCCCCCCCCAATTTATCGGCCAACCAACCAAGCCAAACCACCCCCCCCCCCAACCGATACCATCATTTTGAGCCGAGACCGAGAAACGATACTGACCGATACTAACAAAAATTTTTATTTTATGTCAAAAAATACGTGTAAAAATAATTTATTCATTATTTTCATCATCCAAATCATCAGATCAACCCTTTCTTCCTAGTTTCTACATTTGCCATATTTTACCGTTTTGTAATATTTTAAAAATGTTTTGGTATTTTGTAATAAAAATGGGGGAAGGAAAGCTTTTAGAGAAAAAAGAGTCAAAGAACATTGTTTTATTTTTATTTTTTTTATTGCTGAGCATCCCTTTTATTTTTCTGTTCATCGACCAACTTTTTTCCTTTATTGAATTAGTGTAGGTTTTTTAAATTTTAGTTATTTAATTCCCCTTTTTTACTGTAAAGGAGAGATTTAATGAAGGGCATCTAAGTTTGTTTATCCTGGGTGTAAATAGCTTGGCTTCATTTTTTGAGCGCAATAGAAGAAAGTATTTTTAGTATAAAAATCTTTACACTTACATATTTCCATTTCAATTTTTTTACCTAAATTTAAGGTTAAAAAAGGGGTTGCGTCGCGGGAATAAAATAATTAAGACGAACTATTAACGGGAAATGGATAATTCTTTCATATTATTAGGAATCCAAAAATTTTCGCCACCAAAGGTGCTTAGTCTAAGGCTTAAGGTTTAACCAAGGTTTAGCCACAGGCAAGAATATAAAATGCTACCAGATACTTTGAAATATGTATTTCTCTCACCTGTTTAGATGCTCTACCAATTAAGCTACCAATATGATAATTAGGGTTGGCAGTTTCGACTCGAGCCGACGTTCATTGCATTTTTTGAGCGAGTCCTTTTCGTGGTTTTCGAGTTTGTGGCTTTCGAGTCGAGCTATACGTGTCTTTTTCGAGTTAAATATCCTTTGCTCACTCGATCTTTCGAAGCTTGAGCTGAGCAAACTGCTAACAGGGCTGTCCGCAACTGCGGATTGCGGCTGCGGAAAATTTTTTTCAATTACGGAAGCCCTGGCTGCCAACCCTAATATAATGGATATCCTCAAATTTCAGATTTTTTTTTCAGAAAATAATCTTATTTATATTATTCAAAAATGCATTTTCTTTCGCCTGAAGTTCAACTAGATATATTTAAATGGTTAACTTTCAAGCAATTAATATCCATTCAACAAACAAATAAATTTTATAAAATTTTTATGAATAAATACGAGGACGAATTGGCACGCAAAAAATTTGATAAACTCGAAATTGTACATATTTCTGTAATTATTTTCGAAAAAATTTTAACTAATTTAGCTTTATGGCAACGATGGCAGTTCAAGTTATTATGAATTTTTCGAACCTGACCCCAAACTTTACGAATTTCAATTGAGTGAACAACTCGAGAAAAAGGTGAAAATTGATATTAAGTATTTTATAATAACCCAATTTTAGTGGAAATGTGCAATAGAAAACTCAGTTCCGATGTTTTTGAGTGATTTCGATACAGACATGAATATTGCTGTTTGCGAATTGGGACAAGATTGTTATCATGAAGGTTGTTTTACAATTATTTGAAGCTATAATAATTGGAGATCGAGCCTGGACCAAGGTCTGGTTTTTGCTGTACCCTAAGTCCGGGCCCAGGCATTTTTTGAGCTTTGTGGGGTTTTTCTGGACTACAGGTCCATTATCCGGCCCAGGTCTATAAATCAAACCCCAGAGTCCAGGAAAGGCTTTTCAAAAATTTTGATCTCTAATAAGAATGCCTTAAAACCTGTAACTCTTCAGTTAAGCAGTTACAATCCCACAAAATTGTTAATAGTCTGGAAGTCGCCTTTCCTTTTTTCCCGTTGACCATTTGAGATGTTTTGTTTGATGTAATTTATTATCATTCGAAAGAGCTCTTCAAGATTGGTCGAATGATACCAAGATCTGCTAGATTTGATGATTCTTATCGACATTATGAAGTTAGATCCTCGCTGGGAGACTTTCTGAGGGAATAAAATAAACGATCACAACTTTGTCCACTTAAGTCATGTTTGGTTGATTTTAATTTCATTCGACTCAGCTTGAAGGGCTCTTTCGAATGATAAATAATTTGCCCTAAAGTAGAAAAAAATAGGAAAAATAGAAAGAAGATGAGGGAAAAGAGAGTGAGGGTGACTTCTAAATTATTACACAAAATTGGCGGGGAATTCTCACATTTTTGGAGAACTACTTAATATAATATTTTATATATAGAGTCATATTATTCGCAATTACCGAATTTGCCAAAAAATGTTGAGGATATGAAAATTGCTCGTTATATACTTGAACAACTTTTTAAATGTTGCTTTGAATTTGTTCAGTTAGATAAAGTTATATTTAATCCTCAAATGATTAAATTATTGTTTGATGAAAACAAAACAAATATGCCTCTACAAATACACTCTCTTAGTGCTCATCTATTCGTTTTAACGAAATCCGATAATTGTTTATTGGAATTTATTTTAAATCATCTGATTTCTAAAGAATTTACTGTGGATTTTTGGAAATTCAACAGAAGAATGCAAAATATAAATATTTTATTTGGAATTTTGACTAAAGGAGAAGATGAATTTGGTGTAGTTTCTTGTCGACATGTTCCATTACAATTTTATAATAATATTATAAAGGTGAGAGTGTTAATGGTGCAATATTTTAGCGTATTTTTTTCTAATAGTGCGACTTCCTCTATTAGACCCTTCAAATAAACCGACCTCCTATAGGATGGTTGAAAAATAAACCGACTCCCTCTATTAAACCGACCCCTATTAATAAACCGACCTCCTAGTGGATGGTTGAAAAATAAACCGACCGGTCGCACTATTAGAGGAAATACGGTATATGATTTTTAGAATAATTTCTGTTAGAGACCGGATTCGAAGTGTCGTACGAGAGGCGTACTGGATATCTCAAATAATCTTTTTTCTGTTATCTCCCCCCATTTTTCTTTCCTTCTTTCAAAATTGTCAGACTACCAAATCTCGATAATCGAGATTTTTCGTTCGAGATCTCGTCTCAATCCGCTCTCTAATTTCCTTATAAAAAAAGAATTTATTTATTTTAGCATATAGAAACCTCAGAAAATATTTCGAAAATGGTGAAGGAGATTAGATTTGGTGATATTCGTGGAACTCTTAATTTAATCCAATGTGCAGAAAATGTTGAAAATAAAGTTGGAGACAAAAATTTAAAATCAACAAAATATCAAATTTCAAATAATCACAATCAAGAAATTAAGTTTTCTATTTATAACCAAGAGGTCCAAATTACTTATGGTCGGCCAAGTAATGATGTGGAAATTAAAAGAATGAATTGATAACTTAATTTAATGTTTAGCAAGCTGCTTTTATTTAAAATTTGTTTTTGAATTGGCCAGTAAAAATTTGTTAAAAATTTATTTCCAATGTTTTTTATCACATGAAAACATTAGTAAACATTCTATTATGCAGGCGATTTTTTATTTTCCAGCAGCTAAGGCACATAAACTAATGATGGAATTCTTTAGATAAACTGTGGAAGGGTACTCAAGAAAGGAAATTTTTCTGCCTACAGCCTTCCAAAATTCTCAAAATTATCGCCTGCGGCGCTGAAAATTCAAACTCGAATATGATTGGATTTAGAATAAGAGGATTTCGAGCTTAGCTATTAAGGGAATTAATTAAAGAAAATAGTCGAGCAACCCATGATCGTTCGTATTCGTCTTAATCTAATCTAAATGTATAAAAATATTAATAAGGAAGTTAAAAATATTGACAACAAAACGTGTTTATGGAACTAAAATTTAAAAAATTATTTCATTCTAAATAACAAATAAAGTCTGCTTCCTCATAGATGACAACTAAGAACAAACATTGAAAATTGGAAATACAAAAAATATCTGTTCTACCAAATAAAAATTTTTCTCGTTTGAACAATTATCGATATAAAAAGTTTTGATTTAACTTGTAATGTTGAGATGGGGCAAATTTTGTTTGTTAATATTTGTTTATGAATAATCGTGGCCACAAAAAATTACAAAACGTTTTTAACTGTTCGAATGGTTTTGATGAAGGAAATGAATGATACTAAACATGTAAACAACTTTACTGATAAAATCCAGCATATAAAGGATAGCTGGATTCAAGCAATTATTACATTATATTAAAATTTAAATAGCTTCAATAATGAAGTTGACAACACTTCTTTTGTTAATAATATGTACGAGCTTTATGATAACAACAATAGTAACGGCAACCTGCAACAATCCGATTATCTATCATAATTTGGTAAGGATAGGAGAAAGGGGATTCAGCTAGGCATTCAAAACGTTTAGGCGAGGGTTTAAAATGTAGTATGAGAGAAAGAGCATCTCAGTAGCTACTTTCATAAAAAAAGAACTTTGCAATAATTTCTAATAGGCCAAAAGATCGATGCCTGTCCTGTTACAAAACTAATTTCTTTTACATTTTTAAACCCATGTCTGATTAAATAATTTAAAAAAAAATTTTTAAGAATGCTCCAGAAACGTTTAATTTTACACGACTAGGATTTAGAAGAGGATTTTTGCCAAACAAGAGTATTGAAATTATTGGTATAGTTCTTGCAAACCCAGACCTATTTGTGATTAATTTGTTCGAAGATGGTGCGATGTACCAAACTGCTGACAATCCATTCCATTTCAAACCACTCTTCCGATACAATCCGACTCGGGTAATTTCATGATTTCATTATATTTGAGGTTATTTATGTATTTGAGGTTGTTCGTAACAATTGGATAAAAAACCGAGGGTGGGGACCTGAGGAAACTTCTGGTGGTTTTCCTTTTAAAGCTGGCCAAACTTTCATTTTGGAATTTGTTGCTGCACCAAAAAATACAATAATTGTAATTATATATTAAATTTTACCTTAATTTGTAAAAATTTTCATAGATCAATATAAATAATGAACGTTTTGCAACCTTCTCTCGCGTGGATTTGAGTAAAATTAGTCAATTATATATTAATGGAACAAACACAATTAGAATTTACAAGTTGACATTGTGTCCTACTCGAGTTTTAACGACTACAACAGTAAAGCCAACAACAACCACAACAAAAAAACCAACAGCCCCAACACCCACAAATCCAATAACTACAAAAGAAGAGCCGACCACCACAAAAGAGACCACTACAACCACAACAAAAGAACCTACAACCACCACAATAAAAAAACCGACAACTACAACAGAACCTACAACAACAACAGAGGAACCGACTACGACACCTCTTTCAACCTGTCCCTATCCTATCGTTATAGCGAATCCGGTATTTTTAATACCGTATTTATTCTAATATAACGAAATGTCGTTTTAATTTTCAACCCTCTTCTAAGATGGTTATATTAGAAACTGTCGTTATATTAGAGACTGTCGTTATAATAGAGACAGACGTTTTAAATTTCAACCCTTTTTATAAAATATTTCATAAAAATTCACAAAAAATTTGACTATAATTCAATGGATATATCAATCAGAGTTCAAACCCGGACCGGATTAGAAGCGTTGCAGTTGACTGAGTCCATATATATATAGATTAGGAGTGATTAAGAGGGCTTGTAGATTACAGGGATATCGGGGGATTTTTGGGATTAACGAAGATTAGGTCATTAACTACTCAGTGACTTTTAGAGATATCGGCAGATATATGCCGATTGGTGGGACTAAGTGGGTTTGAGTGATATCAGTGTTTTGGAAAAATATCGAGTGATTTTTGAGTAGAGAGAAGTTGATAACACTTATTTTGTCAATAATATGTGCGAGCTTTATGTTAACTACAATCGAGATGGTAACATGCAATACTGCGATTATTTATAAAAATTTTATTATGTCCCGGTTCTTGTTTATTTAAACTATTTATGATTATCTCTCAAACTCTTGTTTGATGTCCAAACTTTTCTTAATAAACCTAATTTAATTCAATAAACTAACACAAACTTTCAATATCAAATTTACTTCAATTAATTAATAAGTTTAGTTCAATATAACGTAAAAATTAATGAGAAACAAAGAGTATTTATATGTGTCAGGAAAGGCGGGAGTTGAATAAGGAAATGGGCAGACAGTTGTAAAGGTTTGGAATGTTTAGATAAGGAATGTTTTAGAGGAATGTTTTGAATTGAAATGTTGGTAATATTCAATTTCGTTCCCCCCTCCTTTTTCCTTCCTCAAAGTATTAAAAAATGGTCAGTCTGAACAACAATTGTAGAACCCATCGAGCTGTGTCGAATGACACCAAAATAAACAAAATCCGACTTGAGTTGACCGAAATAAAGACCCCTGAAAATTGAACAACCACAAGGGCGATTTTTTGAAATTAAAAAAGTTTACACAAATGATAGCTCATTCGAAAGAGCTCATCGAGCTGAGTCGATTGACACCATAATCAATGCAATCGGACGAGTTCTGACAAAGTTATGACATTATTTAGACCTACCGGAGTGAGGCGACTTATGTCATAACTTTGTCAAATCTTGTCCAATCACGTTGATTTTAGTGTCATCCGACTCAGCTCGATGAGCTCTTTCGAATGAGCTATCATTTGTATAAACTTTTTTAATTTCAAAAAATCGCCCTTGTGGTTGTTCAATTTTCAGGGGTCTTTATTTCGGTCAACTCAAGTCGGATTTTGTTGATTTTGGTGTCATTCGACACAGCTCGATGGGTTCTACAATTGTTGTTCAGACTGACCATTTTTTAATACTTTGAGGAAGGAAAAAGGAGGGGGGAACGAAATTGAATATGAAAGGGAAACGAATGTTGATGGGGAATATTTTAAAACTAATAAAGAAATATTAAAGGAGTTTACAATCAGGAAATGAATATTTTAGAGTAAATTGATAAGGAATATTTCAATTATGTTTTTGGGGAAAATAGGAAAAACAACATTTATTTAAAAATAAAAAAACATCGAAATAGGGATCCAACAAATTTGGTAAGACAATGAGTACGCATGCTTAAGCTAAGATTTAAGAGAGTTATAGAACGACACGGTACCTCAAATGGCGGTAGAGCCTCAGAGGGCTTTTGTAATACGATGCCTGCCTTCTGGAATACTTTTATTTGACTCTTACTTTCTTGTCTATATCTGCTTAAATAATTTTTTTTTAATTTTTAAGAAGCTTCCAACAACAATTGATCTTGTAAATGTAGGATTTGGAAAAGGATTTTTACCAATCAAGAGTATTGTAATTAATGGTGTGGTTCTTGCAGACCCAACTTTTTTTGCGGTTAGATTGTTCGAAGATGGTGTGATATACCAAACTGCTGATGTTCCACTCGTTTTCCTTACACACTTTAAAACATTCAAACCACCTCGCGTAATTTAATAATTAAAATTTGTTTTTGACTAATATATTTACTTGAGGTTATTCGTAACAATTATATAGTAAACAAAGGATGGGGACCTGAAGATTTTTCTGGTGGTTTTCCTTTTAAAGCTGGCCAACCATTCATTTTGGAATTTGTTGCAGCGCCAAATAATACAATAATTGTAATTATTCATTCAATTTTTACCTCAATTTTATACTTTCATAGATCAATGTAAATAATAAACCTTTTACAACATTCTCTCGTGCGGATTTGAGTAAAATTAGCCAATTAAATATTGATGATGTAAACACAATTCGCATTAACACTTTGACATTGTGTCCCAATCAAGTTTTAACGACTACCACGGTGAAGCCAACCACAACAGAGGAACCTATCGCCACAACAGAGGAACCTACAACAACCACAACAAAGAAACCGACAACTACACCTCTTCCGACCTGCCCCTATCCTATAGTTATTCCGCATCCGGTAAGAAATAACTAAATTGACTGATAAATGTTCTTGTAATACCGTATTTACTTTAATAGCCCTCGTTCTAAAATAACGATCCCTCTAATATAGCCGACCCTAAATGTCGATCAAAATACCCCGTGGGTTATTTTAGATGATTTACGTTATCGCATGTTTGATAATCTAAGGAAATACCAGCAACAATAGATCTTTTGAAGCAAGGATTTGAAGAAGGATTTGCACCACCTTCTAAAAATACTTTTATTTCTCCCTTACTTTCTTCAACTATGTCTGCCTAAATAATATTTTTTTAATTTTTAAGAAGCTACCATCAACAATTGATCTTGTAAAGATAGGATTTGGAAAAGGATTTTTGCCAAACAAATCTATTGAAATTAGTGGTGTGGTTCTTGAAAAGCCAAGCGATTTTACGGTTACTCTGTTTGAGGATGGCGAGCAGTTCTCAACTGCGGACGTTCCATTTATTTTGAATTCCTTCCACGTCGGCGGCCTACTCAACCCACCTGCAGTAATTTAATAATTAAAATTGTTTTGTATATCCACATTTATTTTAGGTTTTTCGTAACAATTGGTCAAAAGACAAAGGACCGGGAACTTCGGAAAAATCTGGCGGTTTTCCTTTTAAAACTGGCCAACCATTCACTTTGGAATTTGTTGCAGCGCCAAACAATACAATAATTGTAATTATTTATTCAACTTTTACCTCAATTTGTTAATCTTTTTGTAGATCAATGTCAATAATAAACCTTTTGCAACTTTCTCTCGCGGAGATTTGAGTAAAATCAGTCAATTATATATTAGTGGGGTAATCACAATTCGAGTTGACTCTTTGATTTTGTGCCCCGATCAAATTTTAACGACTACAACGGAGAAACCTACAACAATCACAGAAGAGCCGACCACTACAACGGAGGAACCAACTACCACAACTACGGAAGAACCTACAACCACCACTACGGAAGAACCGACTACGACAACAGAAGAGCCGACCACTACAACAGAGGAACCAACTACAACCCCTCTTCCAACCTGTCCCTATCCTATCGTTATAGCGTATCCGGTAAAGCAATTATTCTTTAAGAAAAGCAGCTGGGCTATAGCTATTTCTCTCCTTTAGCAGTGCAAAAGGTTATTCGACGGCTGGGAGCGAACGAGCATCTTCAGTAGTGATTTTCGGGTATCCCGATCACTTATCCCGATCCCGACTACCTTGGCCGCGCGCCTACTTGGGCTGTACCATCTTTTATACTTTAAGGAAATACCAGCAACAATCGATCTTTTGAAGCAAGGATTTGAAGGCGGTTTTGCTCCACCTAAGCGTATTATTTTCGTTGGTTCTCCTACTAATACAACTGACCGTTTTATGATCAATTTGTATAGTGATGGAGTGCCAGATATAACTGCTACAACAGTGTTCCACTTCAATCCGAGATTTAAAGAAAAGCAGGTGTGTAGGGATAATAACTCAGAAAATTCAATAAAAAATATTTATGTAAGGTTGTAAGAAATACATGGTCACGAATTACAGGGTGGGGAAAAGAAGAACGCTATGGAGGATTTCCTTTCAGAATTGGAGAACCGTTCGTTTTGGAATTTATTGCGGCAGAAAAAAACACAATAATTGTAATTACTAAAGTGGTGTTCCTCGTTATATTATTTATTTAGGTTCATGTTGATTACAAACCATTTGTAACATTTTCACGGGATGATTTGAGTAAATTGAGCTTATTGGAGGTTAAGCTGGCAGTTGAGCTGAGCTCTGTGGTTTTATGTCATGATAAAGCGATAACCACTACAATTGAACCCACCCCTACGACAAAGCAATCAACAACTACTACAACGGAGGAGCCAACAACGACAACTGAAGAATCAACAACAACGACCGAAGAACCAACAACAATAACAGAAGAACCGACCACCACAACCAAGGAACCAACAACTACGACGGAGGAACCTACTACTACGACAGTGAAACCAACAACTACAACAACAGAAGGACCGACCACCACAACAAAACCTCCTCCATACTGTCCAGGGCAAATTGTCGTAAATAATCCGGTTGGAGTATTTTTATAAGTGTTTGAACTAAACAACTTTATAAAACTTCAGAAAATACCGGCAACAATCGACTTTGTGAAGTTTGTAACAGGCTTTGCACCACCAAAGCGCATTATAATTCGTGGAACACCTTTAGCACAACCTAGTTATTTTAACATCCACATTGCTGAACCTGGTAAATTGTTTGTAAACGCTAGTGTGCTATTCCACATGAGTCCACGTCTTGGTCAAAAACAGGTAAAAGACTTAAAGGGGAATCCTTACATTCTTAAATCTGAACTCTAGGTCATACGCAACACATGGATGGTAGGCCAAGGCTGGGGACGAGAAGAGCGTTCTGGAGGCTTTCCTTTTAAAGTTGGAGAACCATTTGAGTTGGAATTAATTTTTGAACCAAAAAATATAATTAATGTAATTAATTTTGTTAAAATATTTGATTAATTTCTAAAATTTTTAGGTTAATGTAAACAAAAGATTTTTCACCAGCTTTTCAAGATATGATTTAAGTAAAATTAGTCAAATGGAGATTGACGCGGGAATCCAATTGAACTCTGTTACTCTATGTCCAGAAATAGAACCAACTACTACAACTAAGAAACCAACTACACTTCTACCAACCACAATTCCTACAAAACCTCCACCATTCTGTCCCGAACAAATTGTTTTAAGCAATTTGGTTAAAGTATTTTTTAATTAAAATAACTTAAACATCTTTAAAAATTAAGCCAATACCATCAATAATCAACCTATTAGCTCAAGGATTTGGAAGAGGATTTGCACCAAATAAGCGTATTATAATTCATGGTACACCTACTGCACGAACACGCTTTATCATTAATCTGGCTGAGGATGGTGTGCCTGAATTAACTGGTGATATTCCACTTCACTTCAGTCCTACCTTTATTCAAAATGATGTAAGTGAATAGGCTAGGGGTTTGGTAATGTTAATACTAAGGGTCTGGCAGCTAATATTCTTAAGGATTTATATTTTCAATTGAGACAGGCATTAAATAAATAGAGAAACCACCGGGCTGGATTCGAACCTGCGACATCCTCGTAGTTATTGCTAGGCGCTTTTGCTCACCACATATAAGTGCACTGAGCTACCGGGGCAATGACTAATGCTATTGTTTGCCTAAATTCCTTATATATATTTAAGGTTATTCGAGACACATGGGTAAGAGGTAAAGGATGGATAAGAACAGAGCGTTCAGGAGGTCTTCCATTCGCAGTTGGTCGACCATTCGTACTTGAATTCAGAGCAGCACCGAGAAATACAATTCATGTAAAATTTAATTATATGTAGTCTTTCAATGATAAAAAATTTATTTCAGATATATGTTGACAACAAATCTTTTGCCACCTTTACACGATACGACTTGGGTAAAATTAGTCAACTGGAGATTAAGCTGGCAGTTAGAGTAAGCTCTGTTATTCTGTGCAAATAAAGAGAGATTTCTGATTAAATATTGAATGTTTTTGATATTAAAAATATTTCTATTTTGTATGTTTACTAACGTTGAATAAAGCAATGTTGAATTCACAATTTTTATCAATAAAAATTGAAAGACGATTTTCTCGCTAATACAGTCATACCTCGAATTTTTATCCCCAAAATTATATACCAGGGATGGATAATTTTGAATTTTAAAAAGTTGGTGAGAATAAAAAGCGGAAGAAAAATAAATTTTTAATCAAAATGAGATATTTCAGAGTAAATCTGAAATAGTGACCAAGACTAAGCGACCAAGATCAATTACTGGGAAATCCCAACAGATCCCAACAAACTTCACCTAATATCCAAAAAATATATATAAATATAAAAAAATATATAATATCCAAACTTCATCTAACTCCACCTAATATCAAAATCCCCGGATATCCCGATCCGGAATCGAACTCTTTATTAATCTAGTAACATAGTTCAGTGTAGGATTAATTGATATCGGAAAATTTCCGTACTTTTTCTTAGTCTCGATAAAATCTTCTAAATTGATAAAATATATAATATCTTGTAATATAAAATCTTCTAACTAGTCCTCCTTTTCAGCACCGCTTGCAAAATTTTGAGAAATTTGAAAGAACAACCAGTCAAATTTCTTCCCTTTCCAGCTCATCAGGCAAAAATTTTTGGAGTCTGGAAGTTTTGGATGCGTAGAGTTTTCGCCGAGTTAACCAAACCGAATTTTTTCTAGAATTAAAAGAAATATTATGAGATTATTATTGAGAGATATTATTGAATAACCCTTAAACACTCCAAATACCAAGATATCCTCTAAATCCGCTAACAAAACGAAACAAAACAAATTAAAAACTGTCACGAGGGTTATCAAAAATGAGGTTTTGCTTTAATAAGACACAGGAAAATTTTGAAAAATGTTAACTTTTTTAATCATTATTGCTGTGCCTATGAAATTTTTAAACGGAAAATAAAAATCATACGGCATTTTTGCTTTTTTCGACCATCATGTCAACTTTTTTATACAACATACAGTCGTGGAAAAAAGTATGGAAGCGCTAGAAATTTTTTTCTTAATTCTTAATTTTTCATAGAAAAAATACGTTCTATATACCAATCGAAAGCTCTATTCGTATCTCAGTTGACATGTTTCTGCATTTTTCATGAAAATGAAAATTGGCCGAGATAATCCGGATCTACCGGATATACCAAATCCCACTTTTTCGGAAAAATTTTTCGGAACAAATTTAACAAACCCAAACGATAAAGCATATTTTTGTGAGCATTTACCACAAAACCGCTTAGAAATATCTTTTTTCGGAGCAGAGATATGATTTTTTGAAAATAACATTTTTCGTCTATTTTTGCAAAAAATTCAATTTTTAAGCGAAAAATGCCATTTTCAAAAAATCATATCTCTCGACCGGAAAAAGATATTTCTAAGCGGTCTTGTGGAAAATACTCAGAAAAATATGCTTTATCATTTGGGTTTGTTAAATTTGTTCCGAAAAATTTTTCCGAAAAAGTGGGATTTGCTATATCCGGTAGATCCGGATTATCTCGGCCAATTTTCATTTTCATGAAAAATGCAGAAATATGTCAACTGAGATACGAATAGAGCTTTCGATTGGTATATAGAACGTATTTTTTGAATGAAAAATTAAGAAATAAGAAAAAATTTTCTAGCGCTTCCATACTTTTTTCCACGACTGTATTTTAGGACATGTCACCAATTTTGATATTTTTGCTCCCTATTTATTTACCTATTTTTAAGTTTTTACGACCTAAATATCCGATCCCTAATAATAAAATATAATAAAGAAACTAAGCATAAAGGAAAGAATAGAAGCTAACTAACTACAGGATTGTGCACTGACTAATAATCTACTGACGCATTGCCTCCTAAACCAAACAAATCCATCTTAATCGAACAAATCCGTCGATGTTTCCCTTAATCCTCAGATTCTTCTTAGTACGCACAAATTCTATTTTACATATCAGCACAGATATTTTTTGCTGACCTTCAGTGTCAGCTGGCCACTAGGAGAGGGACTAGGATCATTTGACTACTGGGACGTTAATCTCTTGGTAAGTATTTGACCTTCTGTGATTGACTCATTCGAGACAATAAATTTCCTGTTAATGGAGTCATTTTAATTTGGGGTTGAGGGCACAAGAAAGGCCAATAATATCAATGTAGTGGAATTGACAAGGTTGCGAGTAGAAAAGCTCTGTTTCATTAACCACTACGAGCTTGAAATATCGAACTAGTATATTACCGGATCTAAAATAACGAGGAGTTTGATCGGTCAGCCTTTCTCCAAATCTAATCTAAATAATATTAAAAAATATATAAGGAAGAATATAAAATATTGACATTAAACGTGTTTATGGAACTAAAAATTAAAAAATTATTTCCTTGCAAATAATAACCAAATAGTCTGCTTCCTCATAAATGATAAACAACTTAGAACAAACATTGTAAATACAAAAAATAACTGTTCCATTTAAACTAAACAAAATTTTGTTTTTATCATTATCAATAATGTATCGATATAAAGTTTTGGTTTGACATCGTTTTACAAATGGTTGAGATTGGACAATTTTGATTGTTAATATTTGGTTAGGAATAATCGTGGAAGCAAAAAATTACTAAGCCGTTGTCAGCTGTTTATTGACGAGGATACAAGGAATACTAAACGTAAACAATTTTATTGATGAAATCCAGCATATAAATGATGGATGGATTCAAGCAATTATTACATTGTATTTAAATTTATTTGTTTAATAATGAAGTTGAAAACACTTCTTTTGTTAATAATATGTGCGAGCTTTATGATAACTACAATCGAGACGGCAACCTGCGACAATCCGATTATTTACAATAATTTGGTAAGGATAGTGTAAAGGGGATACGTACAGCTGTTATTTAAAATGCTTAGGCGAGGGGCTATCAAAAATCTGATAGGCCGAAGGGTCGATGCCTGCCTTTACAAAACTTTAATTTCTCTTACTTTTTAAACCTACCTTGTCCGATTAAATAATATGTACTTTTAAAAATTTTTAAGAATTTACCGGCAACGATAAATCTTGCACAACTAGAATTTGGAAGAGGATTTTTACCAAACAAGAGTATTGAAATTAATGGTGTGGTTCTAGCAAACCCAGACCTATTTGTGGTTAATTTGTTCGAAGATGGAGTAATGCAGCAAACTGCTGACATTCCATTCCATTGTAAACCACTCTTCCGATTCAATCCGACTCGGGTAATTTTCAAGTTAAAATTGGTTTTGATTGGAGTTTATTTGAGGTTGTTCGTAACAATTGGATAAAAAACCGAGGATGGGGACCTGAGGAAACTTTTGGTGGTTTTCCTTTTAAGGCTGGCCAACCATTCGTTTTGGAGCTTGTTGCAATGCCAAAAAATGGGATAAATGTAATTATTTGTTCAATTTTTACCTCCATCTATTTATTTTATCGTAGATCAATATCAATAATAAACGTTTTGCAACTTACACTCGTGTGGATTTGAGTAAAATTAGTCAATTATATATTGATGGGAGAGGCACAATTACAGTTAATTCTTTGACATTGTGTCCCAATCCAGTTATAACGACTACAACAGTAAAGCCAACAACAACCACAACGACAGAAGAACCTACGACGACAACAGAAGAACCTACCACTACAACTGCAGAACCGACCACCACAACAGAGGAACCTACAACAACACCTCTTCCAACTTGTCCCTATCCCATCGTTATAGCGTATCCGGTATCTTTGCTTAATATCTTAGGTTTCCCTAATTGGTACTGAAATTCGGTTAAATCGAGAAATAAAACATTTAATAATATTACAAGTTTTATGTTTATAAAATTTAAGGAAATACCAGCAACGATCGACCTTTTGAAGCAAGGATTTGGAGAAGGATTTGCTCCACCTAAACGTATTGTATTTGTTGGTTCTCCTACTAATACAACTGACCGTTTTATGATCAATTTGTATAGTGATGGAGTGCCAGATATAACTGCTACAACAGTGTTCCACTTCAATCCGAGATTTAAAGAAAAGCAGGTGTGTAGGGATAATAACTCAGAAAATTCAATAAAAAATATTTATGTAAGGTTGTACGAAATACATGGTCACCAATCACAGGATGGGGAAAAGAAGAGCGTTTTGGAGGATTTCCTTTTAAAGTTGGAGAACCGTTCGTCTTGGAATTTATTGCGGCTCCAGAAAATACAATAATTGTAATTACTAAAGTGATGTTGCTCGTTATATTATTTTTTAGGTTCATGTTGATTACAAACCATTTGTAACATTTTCACGGGATGATTTAAGTAAATTGAGCACATTAGAGGTTAAGTTGGCAATTGAACTTAGCTCGGTGGTTTTATGTCATGATAAACCGATAACCACTACAATTGAGCCAACTACCACAACGGAAGAACCAACAACTACAACGGAGGAACCAACAACAACAACCGAACAACCTACAACAACAACCGAGGAACCCGCCACCACAACTGAGGAACCCGCCACCACAACCGAAGTATCTACTACTACAACAGAGAAACCAACAACTACAACTGTAAAACCTACCACGAAACCCCCACCAACTACAACAAAGAAACCGCCTACTCCAACAACCAAAAAGCATATACCAACCACACCAATTCCTCAGTATTGCCCGAAACCAATAGTTTTTAATAACTTGGTAAATTAATTCTCTGCTTCTGGATTTATTTATATAATTAAGAAAATACCATCAATAATCAACCTTGTAGCTCAAGGATTTGGAAGAGGCTTTGCACCTCCAAAGCGTATTATAATTCTTGGAACACCTACTGCACGAACACGCTTTGACATTAACTTGGCTGAGGATGGTGTGCCTGAAAAAACTGCTAACATTTTATTCCACTGCAATCCACGCTTTACTGAAAATCGAGTAAATTAAGAGACTTGTCTATCATTAAGACGAGTGTTCTCTAAAATTCTTAAATATAAAAGGTTGTTCGCGACACTTGGATAAGGGGCAAAGGATGGATAAAACAAGAGCTTACAGGAGGTTTCCCATTTACTGTTGGTCAATCATTTGTATTGGAATTTAGAGCAGCACCAAAAAATACAATAAACGTATAATTAAGTTACAGTAAATTTTTAATGATATAATTTTTATTTCAGGTATTTGTCAACAACAAACCATTCGTAAATTTCGCACGATACGATTTGAGTAAAATTAGTCAATTGGAGATTAAGCAGGCAGTCAAAATAACCTCTGTTATTTTGTGCAAATAAAGAGAGATTTCTGATTAAATAATATTGAATGATGAATGTGATATTGAAAATATATTGTTAAATTGTAATTTTAATGCAGTAAAATAAAGCATGAAATGTTGAGTTAACAATGTTTATTGTTAGGTATGTGTGGGTCTAGTATAAAAGGAGTCGTTAGCGATCAGTCTGGGTCGACACCTGGGTCGACCGGCGCCATCTGTCCTTCATCATTCTTGCCTTTTGCCACCTTCATTATTGTAGTATTTACCATTCGGATAAACGTTATATTCTATTCCTGTGTTATTCTGTTTGTCAGTAAGACCGCTACTTAGGACATAACATTTATCAATCAAATAGGATGGCGATAAACGCCCTTAATTCTGGATCGTTTTTAAAGGGCGTTATTTATGGTGGGCGGTGCGCAAAATTTTACGACATTAATGATGGAAATTTTTAAATAAATTTGGGTAATGATGATCATAAACGTGATTTTTTCCTTCATCCTTCCAAAATTTCCTTCCAGGTTCAGACATGGACTTACAAAATTATCAGTATTTTCGTCTGTGCCGCTGAAAACATACTATTATAAATTATAAACTTATGTTAGTATTAAAAACTTATTGTTAGAATCCAGTGCCAGATATTTGTCCAATTTGTATATATTGGACAAATATTTACAAATTTGTTAACCTATTTAATATAATCATAATTAAAATTGAAAATTGAAAGTTGAGAATCAAAATAATTAAATAAGTCTAAAATTATAGTTTCTACTAGAGACCGGCGCGGGACGGGATCCCGCGCGGGATTTTGCGGGATCCCGCTCCCGCAATCCCGCACTTTTTTCGATTTGCGGGATTTTGCGGGATGCGGGATTTTGCGGGATTTATCCCGCGGGATCCCGTCCCGCAAAGCTTTTTGAAAAAAATCCCGCATGCGGGATCCCGCAAAATATTTTGCATTTTGCGGGATTTTTGGAAAATAGAGGATTTTGGCTCATGGCCTTCTAAATCAAAAAATTTTCGCCTGCGGCGCTAGAAAAAGGAGAATTTTGGCTCGCTGGCCTTCCTAAAATCTCGAAATTTTCGCCTGCGGCGCTGAAAACGAAGGAATTTCGATACTTGGCCTTCTAAAATTTTCGCCTGCCGCCCATGGAATCATCTCTATTTCATAAAAACAAGATTGCCCAAATTGTTAGATCACGATGATTGATCCCATTTGTTTCAGCTCAAGCCATTTAACATGTACACCTCGTTTCAGTCTGGGCTCAGTTCAGTCGCGCGCCCTATAACTTTTGAAGGGGCCGATAATTTTTAATGTTCCTGGTACTATTTGATATAGCATTAAATAATCTACCATATACTAGAAAATCAAAAATCTTGACTAACTGGTAAAAAATTTATGTTCGAAAAAGTGCCAAAAAATCACGTTTTTTTTTTGAAAAAGTTGGTTTTTATATCATAACTTTTTTATCAATCGGTCAAAAATTCTGATTTTTTGAAAATTTGTAGAGCCCTTGATTCTAAAATCTCGAAATTTTTCCTCTATCCAATGGTATCAAGAACATGTCAGTGACCGTTCCTTGATGAGTAAAAGGTCCATACTGAATTGATCCAGACTGAACTGAGGTATGCTCCGTATTCTAATTTGTATACTCGAACTTTCTGACGAATATTTATTAGCTCGTTAATGATTTAAGAACCCGATAATGATTAGGAAATTGATTTTTTAACTAGATATTGATAATTTTAACAATTTTTGAAAATCCCGCAATCCCGCGCGGGATCCCGCAAATTTAAATTGCGGGATTTTGCGGGATGCGGGATTTTGCGGGATTTATCCCGCGGGATCCCGTCCCGCAAAGATTTTGAAAAAAAATCCCGCATGCGGGATCCCGCAAACACGATTTTGCCGGTCTCTAGTTTCTACATATATTCAAATGAGAATCATATATTCAATATATATGAGAATCATACATACTAGGGTTTCACCGGAACCAAAATTTTGACCGGAACCGGATCCAATTTGAGTTCCGGTTCCCGGAACCGGAACTTTTCTAAGTTCCGGCCCGGAACCGGAACCGGAACTTTAAAAAAATTTGCTAGCAAATTTAAAAAGTTAAAAAAAATTAAAAGAAATTTGAATTTAAAGCAGGGTTGTCGGTTTCACCCAATTATTGTGTTAACCAAAACGACTAACCGAATCGAAACTTTCGGTTAACCAAAACCTAACCGTAAAACCGAACCGAACTACCAAAATCCCCTGATATACCCGATACGACACTAATTATATGATATCCTCTTTGATCCCTGAATTTCTTCCAACTATTTTTCATCCGATCAGATCCCTAGATATCAAATCACCGTTATACCATTATAACTCTTGATACACGGAATCACCAAATATCATCCAAATCCCCATTAATCCATGCAAGTTCTCAAAAATAACTGTGAATTTCGGAAGGCCAAATGAGTAATGCCATGTTTTGGAATGCCAAATCCCCAGCTATCCTATCCCTGATATCTACCTTTCACAGCTCAATCCCTCGATATCACACCCAAATCCCTCGATATTACCTATGACCCCTTGAAATCACATGATGTAACTTTAAATCCACCTTCATACATCCAAATCTTCCGATATACCATTCAACTTCATTTAACAGCGGCCGCAGACGAAAATTTTGAGAATTTGCAAAGATAAGAAGCCAGATTTCTTCCTTTTCTGGCGCCGCAGGCAAAAATTTTGAGAATTTGTGAGGACAAGGAGCTAGATTTCTTCCTTTTCTAGCGCCGCAGGCGAAAATTTTGAGAATATTGCAAGTCCAGCCGGGGAAGGCCACCCAATATTTTAAAAAAATCAATCTTTAGGGGTGTAAAAAAGTTCCGGTTTGCCCGGAACCGATTTGAAAACCGGAGCCGGAACCGGAACCAATTTGAGTTCCGGTTCCCGGAACCGGAACCAAAAAAACACCGGAACTTTCCGGAACCGGAACCGGAACTTCCGGTGAAACCCTAATATATACATATATTCATATATTCAAATGAGAATATTCAAATGAGAATCAATATTAGTTAACTTTGAAACTTCTCTCTTTTCTTTTTGTGAATTAATATTTCAAAAATGTTATTTTATTTAAAAAACTTGTATTTATTCAAAACAGCAATTAAACACACAAAAATTTAAAGGAAAGAGAAAATCTAAAAATTATATTTGCCAACAGTGCAGTTGCCTTCATTTTCAGCGCCGCAGACGACAATTTTGAAAATTTTGGAAGGTCAAGGAGATAGATTTCTTCAATTTTTGTCCTCAGATTAGATGTATTTTTGCGTTATTTTCGTCAAAAATAACGCAATGCGCTCACCCCTGTCCCCAATTATTACTATCCAAATGTGTATTCCCCATATGTCGGGAGCTTTCTGTACATGTATTGGAAAGAACTTGGGGAGGATAAAGTTGGGTCTGTAAGCGATACTATTGCCATAAATTCGATGTTTGTATTGGGGACAAATTGCCATCATTAATTTTTATTGACACAAATGTATTATATAGTATTGAACGTACAAAATATAAATATTTAGTATTTTTAATATCACAAACATATATAAAATATTTAATCAAAATCTCTTTTTGCACATGATAAGATATTTTACTACGATTGCCCCTTTAATCTCCAATTGAGTTATTTTACTCAAGTCGTTTCGGTTTAAAGTTAAAACTAGATTTCTGTCGACTAATATCTGAAATTAAAATTATATCATTGAAAACTTCAGAGTATTTCTGTATTAATACTTTTTATTTCAAAGATTTCTTATAAAAACTACTTTAATTTAATTACATCTATTCCATTTTTATCTGCTGTTCTAAATCCCAATTCGAATGATTGGCCAACTTTGAATGGAAGGACTTCTGTGCTCTCTTTTCCTATCCATCCTGTACCTCTTACCCAAGTGTCAGTAATAACCTTAAATATATAATTAATTTAGGCAAACAAAAATTGCTTTAACTAACAATTCTAATGCCTGTACTTACCTTCTTTTGAGAAAAGTCTGCACTTAAGTGAAATGGAATGTCGGCAGTTTCTTCAGGCACACCCTCCTCAACCAAGCTAATGTCAAAGCGTGTTGGTGCAACAGGTGTCCCAAAAATTATAATATGCTTTGGATATGTAAATCCTATTCCCAATCCTTGATCTACAAGGTTAATTATTGATGGAATTGTCTTAAATTTTTAAAGATTTTTAGTTATTTTAATTCTCTATACTCTAACCAAATTCTTTAATTCAATCTGTTCGGGACAGAATTGGGGAGGTCTTGGAGGAGTTGTGGTTGGTAGGTGTTTAGTACACAAAATCAAAGAGTTGATATTAATTTGGTCAGCCCCAGAAATATATAAGTGACTAATGTTACTCAAATCCACACGACTTCAATATAGTACGTGGGTGCCGGCTTTAATATACAAATTTTATACCATTCGAACGAGCTCGTCGAGCTGAGTGAATGCCACCAAAATTAGCCCGAGGAAAAATTTTTGAACCGAGTTATAGGTCCCTGAAATTTGAAAAATCATAGGGGACTAAGTTATGACTAGAACTCGGACCGTACCGTACTACGACCGTACCGTACTACGGCCGTATTTTATCGGTATTTATCGGTATTCCGTATCGGTAGTACGGTACGGAATACGGTACGGTACGAACCCCCGCGCTCTAGTTATGACAAACGATCATAACTTTGTCAAATCAAGTCAGATTTTGTTGATTTTGGTGTCATTCGACTCGGCTCGACGTGCTCTTTAGAATGAGCTATTATTTGCATATTCGAATTTTTCACCCCAAAATAGACGTTACTCTCCCCTATGGGTTTTCAATCTTTCGGGATCTATAACTTGCTTCAAAAATTTTTCCTCGGGCTAATTTTGGTGGCATTCGACTCAGCTCGACTAGCCCTTTCGATGGAATAACATTTGTATATTAAAGCCTGCACCCACTTACCCAACTTCAGCCGAACCCCAGTAGCTTGCAAACCATTGATTATTGATATAGATCTACGAAAAATAAATTTAAAATAAATAAATTAAGGTAAAAATTGAGTAAATAGTTACAGTTGTTGTATTTTTTGGCGCTGCAACAAATTTCAAAATAAGTGGTTGGCCAATTTGCAAAGGTGAACGATGGTAATTAACACCTCCCGACCCTCCAGATTTAGACCAACTATCAAGTACAATCTAAAATAAATATTTGGATATAAAAACCAATTTAAATTATTAAATTACCTGTGGACGGATTTGGTGGTGTGACGCGAATCTGAATGGCTCGTCGGCTTTTGGGTAGGGGCCTTCCAACAAATAAACATAAAAAGCACTACGCACATTAGTAATTCTACCATTAATTTCAATATATTTGTCTGGTAAAAATCCTTTTCCAAATCCAACTTCTACAAGATCAATTTCTAACGGTAGCTTCTTAAATATATTATTTAATCAGAGGGAGGCTCTACTGGAGTTATGAGTCCAATCGCACTTTATGAGTCCAATTCAAATAATTTTGAATATTTCTCGGGTTTACAAAGTTGAGGTATGGTAAGATTTGGGATGGAGGCATTATAAGGGATATTGAATGAATTTTGGAAAATTTCCCAACCACTTAAGTCATCTTAATCATTCTCAATCTCCCAAATCTTCGTATTGATCAAATTCTCCTTATCTTCTTAATCCTCCCAAATCTTTCTATATTTCCTGCTAATATAAGGATGATTCACCTAGCAGCATTTAAAACGCTTAGGCGGGGGATAAACGATCTAAAAAGGAAAAAGAGAAAGCATTAGTCGATGCCCCGGTAGCTCAGAGGTAGAGCTCCTGCATATAGTGAGCGAAAGCGCCTAGCAACAACTAGCAGGTGGTCGCAGGTTCGAATCCTGCCCGGTGGCTAAACTTTTGCAAACTCTTTCTCTAATCCACTTTATCTCATATCATCATAATCCCCCGACACCCATAGCTCTCGTTAATTCTCTTACTAAATATGTCATGGGCTTTCCTGGATTTGCTAAAGTTAACAAGAATTATTTTTTAAACCTAAGGGTTACACTAGTATACCTAGTTAATCAAAAATAAGATATTAGGCAAATTGTCTTACTGGATTCAATATAACAATAGGATTGAGACAAGGGTGGGGAGGTGTAGTAGTTGGTTTAACTGTTGGCGTCGTAGGTTTTACTGTTGTGATTTTTGGCTTTCGTGTTTTAGTCGTTATAACTTGATTCGGACACAATGTCAAAGAGTTAACACGAATTGTGTCTCCCCCATCAATATATAATTGACTAACTTTACTCAAATCAACACGAGAGAATGTTACAAAATGTTCATTATTGACATAGATCTACAAAAAAATTAAGAAATTATGGAAAAATTGGATAATAACAATTATTGTATTTTTTGGCTCTGCAACAAAATCCAAAATGAATGGTTGGCCAGCCTTAAAAGGAAAGTCACCATACTCTTCCACAGGTCCAAATCCTCCGTTTTTTATCCAATTTGTACAAACAACCTCAAGAAAATTCGAATAAAAACCAATTTTAATTATAAAATTACATAAGGTGGATTGCGTCGGAAGACCGGTTTGAAATATAATGGCACGTCAGCAGTTTGGTACATTACTCCATCTTCGAACAAATTAACCACAAATAGGTATGGTTTTGCAAGAACCACACCATTAATTTCAATACTCTTGTTTGGTAAAAATCCTTTTCCAAATGATAGTTGTGTAAGATTTATCGTTACTGGTAAATCCTCAAAAATTTTTAAAAATTATTATTTAATCAGACATCATTTAAAAAATAGCCTCGTTTCTTCGGGTATTTAGTAGTTATTTCTGTTCGTTTTTTATTAAGGGAGCTATTGAGATGCTCTTTCTTTTTCCTTCATTAGATCTTAGACACTCGCTTAAGCGTTTAACGGAAACCTATTGTACTTCCCGCACTTTCTTTAGTTCCTGAATACCATTTTTTTAAACCCTAAGGGGTACACTAGTTTAGTTAATCAAAAATAAAATATTAAGTAAACTCTCTTACTGGATTAACAATAGGATTGAGACAAGATGGAAAAGGTGTAGTAGTTGGTTCCTCTGTTGGCGCCGTAGGTTCTTCGTTGTATTCTGCCGTCTCGATTGTAGTTACCATAAAGCTCGCATATATTATTAACGAAAAAAGTGTTTTCGACTTCATTGTTGAAGTTAATATATTTAAATTTTATTTTATTTGCTTGAATTCATCATCCTTTATATGCTGAATTACATGTCTATTGTCCCTCTTTTCCCCATCAAAACCATTCAAACAGCTGACAACGGTTTGTAATTTTTTTTGGCCACGATTATTCATAAACAAATATTAACAAACAAAATTTGCCCCATCTCAACCATACATAGAGATTGTTCCTCTCATAATGTTTCATCTTATAAATATTTAAAAATATCAATAAGGAAGTTTATAAAGTATTAACAAAACGTGTTTAATAAACATTGAAAATTTATAAAATTGTTTCCTTGCAAATATAAATATGTAAATATCTGCTTCCTCATACATGAACAAACATTGTAAATTGAAAATACAAAAAATATCTGTTCTAACAAACAAAATTCTTCTCGTTATAAATATATCGAATATATCGAAAAAAATTTGAATTAACATCGTTTTATAAATGATTGAGATGGGACGAATTTTGTTTGTTAATATTAGTTGTGCCACAAAAAATTGTGGTAATTCTTCGGTTGTCGCCCCTCCCTTTTTTATGTTTCCCTGACCATTTTGAGCTTTTTTGCTTGAAATATAATTTATTATATATCATTCGAAAGAGCTATCCGAGCTGAAACAAATTTCTTCATAAATAATGGCCGTCATTAGGGGGTGTAAACACGCGGAAGAGGAACGCGGAAGGGTCAAAAAGCGGAATTCTGCGGAAGGCGGAACGCGGAAGCGGATCCAGCCCTGGTCTGTACCAGGGATGTCACGGGTTGAGAAAAATGTCGTGTCGGGTTTCCGGTCGGGTTTTCAAAATTTTCTTCGGATCGGGTTTCGGGTTTCGGGTCGAAAAAAAGCCAAAATTCTGAGAATTTTGGAAGGCCAAAAAGCCAAAAATCTTCCCTTCTCAGCGCCGCAGGCGAAAATTTTGAGAATTCTTGAAGGTCCGAAGCCAGATTTCTTCCTTTTTCAGCGCCGCAGGCGAAAATTTTCAGAATTTTGGAAGATCATTAAGCTAAAAATCTTCCCTATTTCTGCGACGCGGGCGAAAATTTTGAGAAAACTCGGGTTGGGTTTCGGGTCGGGTTTTAGAAAATTTCTCGGATCGGGTTTCGAGTATCGGGTCGAAAAAAAGGCCGGGTTTCGGGTAACCCGTGACATCCCTGGTCTGTACTATTTAATATTGCAGAATAAAAACACCAATTTTCAAATTTAGAAATCACGCCAAACGCCAAGTTTTTAAAAATTTATAAAAGAAAGAAAAGTAGAGTCGCTAATTATTTCTGTATATTTTCAAATTAGCCGTTTTTAAAGCTACAGATCTAAAATATCAAAAAGTCCGAGATTAGCATCGAAAACAAATCGAAATTACGCAAATGTCGAGAGCCTTCTGTTCCTGTATAGGAAAGAACTTGGGAGGAAATTAGGGTCTGTAAATGACAATATTGCCATAAATTGGATTTTTGTATTGGGGACAAATTTCCATCATTAATTTTTATTACATTGCTTTATTCTTTGGCATTAAACATACAAAATATGTATAAATAGTATTGTTAATATCACAAAAATAAGTACAATATTTAATCTGGGCACAGATTAACAGATCTTACTTTAATTGCCCCTTTAATCTCCAATTGAGTTATTTCTCTCAAGTTGCTTCGGTAAAATGATACAAAATGTCTTTCGTTGACATGTACCTGAAATAAAAATTGTATCATTAAAAACGGTACTTTTCGGTTATCTCCCACCAATTTCTTTTTTAATGAACTTGATCGGCTATTACTTATTTTATGCTTGATCCAATCCAAATGAAACTTATATCATTTAAAAGCCCTCGATAAGCGCTATCTTACCCAAATGGCAGGTTCAAGTCTGATCACTCATGAAAAAGTTACGAGTCGATAAGTCCAAGAAATCGTTTTTCACAATTATCAACTTGTAACTTTTTCAGAGTGATCCGAATTGATACATCCAGTTGGGTAAAGGATAGCGTTTATCGAGGGCTTTTGAATGATATGAGATTCATAAGTATTAGACCAAGCTTAAAAAAGTTATAGCCGATCAAATTTGTAAAAAGAGCAAGGGCGAGGTAAAAGTTTAATCCCGAGCAGGCTTCTTCGATCCTGCGACCTCCTGGCAGTTATTGCTAGGCGCTTTCGCTTCTCTACCAACTGAGCTACCGGGACGCTGCTTTCTTTCACCTTCTCTTTTATTAGATCTTAAACCCCCGTTTTTGAGCGTTTTAAATGCTAGCCAGCTGGATCTTTTCTCTCTTTCTCTTCCTTACAAAAGGAAGATAGTGGGAGATAACTAAAAAGTACCTTAAAAACTTTAAAATAGTTCTGTATTAATATTTTTTTCAAAGATTGATTACAAAAACTACTTTAATTCAGACTAGGACATGGATACGGATTTTTGGTATCCGTATCTAGATATTTACGGTGTATACAGACGGATACAACCGGATATCCGCAGGCATTTTGGTATTATCTGTATCCATATCCGTACCCATGACCATGTCTGTTTTAATTTAATTACATGTAGTCCATGTCTCTTTGATTCTGCTATAAATTTCAATTCGAATTCTTGGCCAACTGTGAATGGAAGGCTTTCTATACGTTGTTTATTTATCCATCCTTTACCGTATATCCAAGTGTCAGTAATAACCTTAAATATATAATGAATTTAGGCAATCAAAAATTGCTTTAACTAGCTATATAAATATTTAAAAATAATCCGTAAATGCTCCAATATACGCACTGGGTTTATATTATTATTAAGAAAGATATAGAGAGATAAAGATAATTTAATAGTATATCAAAGCATAACATGATTTCCCTTCAAATTCCCTGAATTTCGATCTAAAATCCAGTTTCTGGACCCGGAAAATTATTTTGCCTGAAATTATTTTTCTTTGATGCTTAATAAAATTGATACTGAATATAATTCTTTGATACTTAAAATCTTTATGAATATAAATCTTTACATTCTGAATGTAAATTTGTTGCTTTTAAGCCTGACAAGAATAACTACCGTATTTACTCGAATAATTACCCTGGGTAATTATTTTTTCAACCTCTCGCTACATGGGGTAATTAATTAAGAAGGGGGGCAATTATTTGAGAGAGGGTAATTATTCGAGCATATACGGTAGTCTATTCACTTACATCCTTTGTAGCAAAGTCTACACTGAAGCGAAATGGAATATCAGCAGTTTCTTCAGGCACACCATCCTCAACCAGGCTAACATCAAAGTTTGTTGGTTCAGTAGCTGTCCCATGAATTATAATAAGCTTTCGATATATAAATCCTCTTCTAAATCCTATTTCTTCAAGGTCAATTATTGATGGAATTGTCTTAAATTTTTAAAGATTTTTGGTTATCTTAATTCACTATACTCTAACCAAATTATTTAATTCAATCAGTCCTTTACAGAATGGGGGAGGTGGGGGTGGTGGGCTTTTAGTACACAAAGTCATAAAGTTGAGTTTAACTGAGTCTCCACCTTCAATATATAATTGACTAATTTTACTCCAATCCACACGCCAGATAGGTGCAAAATATTGATTATTGATATAAATCTACGAAAAATAAATTTAAAATTAACAATGAAGGTAAAATTTTTCTAACTACAGTATTTACTCGATTAATTCCCCGCCCTCGAATAATTCCCCACCCTCTATTGATTCCCCATGCCAGGGATGAGTTATGAGTTCAATCGCACTTTATGAGTCCAATTAAAATAATTTTGAATTTTTCTTGGTGTTATAAAGTTGAGGTATGGTTCCAAAACATTTCTTCGTTTTCAGGACCTACACCCACTAGACCCATTGTACTTCCCGAACTTCCTTTAGTTCCTGGATACCATTCTTTAAATCTATGGGATAACTAGTATAGTTAATCAAAAATAAGATATTAAGTAAATTGTCTTACTGGATAATCTATATCAATAGGATTGAGACAGGATGGAAAAGGTTTTTCTGTTGTTGTTCTTGGCGTTAGTGTTGCAGTCGTTATAACTTGAGGACACAAAGTCAAAAAGTTAACTCGAATTGTGTCATTACCATCAACATATAATTGACTAATTTTACTCAAATCCACACGAGAGAAATTTGCAAAACTTTTATTATTGATCATGATCTACAATAAAATGAAACAACTGTACTTGTTAAAAATTGAATATATAATTACAATTATTGTATTTTTTGGTGCTGCAACAAATTCCAAAATGAAAGTTCGGCCAGCTCTAAAACGAAAACCACCACCATCTTCCTCACGTCCCCATCCGCTGTTTTTTATCCAATTGGTACGATTAACCTCAAATAAATTCCAATAAAAACCAATTTTAATTAAAAATTACATAAGGCGGATTGCGTCTGAAAAGCGGTTTGAATTGAAATGGAACGTCAGCAGTATCGAACATCTTACCATCTTCGAACAAATTAACCACAAATTGGTCTGGGTCTGCAAGAACCACACCATTAATTTCAATACTCTTGTTTGGTAAAAATCCTTTTCCAAATGATAGTTGTGTAAGATTTATCGTTACTGGTAAATCCTCAAAAATTTTTAAAAATTATTATTTAATCAGACATCATTTAAAAAATAGCCTCGTTTCTTCGGGTATTTAGTAGTTATTTCTGTTCGTTTTTTATTAAGGGAGCTATTGAGATGCTCTTTCTTTTTCCTTCATTAGATCTTAGACACTCGCTTAAGCGTTTAACGGAAACCTATTGTACTTCCCGCACTTTCTTTAGTTCCTGAATACCATTTTTTTAAACCCTAAGGGGTACACTAGTTTAGTTAATCAAAAATAAAATATTAAGTAAACTCTCTTACTGGATTAACAATAGGATTGAGACAAGATGGAAAAGGTGTAGTAGTTGGTTCCTCTGTTGGCGCCGTAGGTTCTTCGTTGTATTCTGCCGTCTCGATTGTAGTTACCATAAAGCTCGCATATATTATTAACGAAAAAAGTGTTTTCGACT